GGGGGGGGGCGGGGGAGGGTGGGAGGGAGAGGGAACTGGGATTAGTATGCAAAATAGTTTTTACTTTAAATACAAATTTATTTCAAAATTTACTAAACAGCCCTTTAGCCTACTTCAGGACACAAAGCACTTCTCATTATACTCCTTAGCCTCTCTATTCCAAAGCTTGTTAGAGGTTTCCTGCTCTTTAAAATGAGCATGGTTTTCAAAACAGTACTTTTCAGGGCTTGATATTGAATTTAAATTCACACACCCACAATCAAACACCACTATAACTTGTTGTACTCTGTAATCCAAATACAACTTTAACAGCAAACATTTCTGAAGCTCAATGTTCAATGCATACTTGTAAATATTTAGACTTTGGTAATTTAAGTAACTATGTAATGAAACTGCTTTCATGCATTACACCCCAAAATATAGTGCTATAGATTTTGAAATATTTTGGGGGAAAATGCAAATACAGCCTAACTATATTACCATATTCTTAGTTTTGAGAACACCAAATATAAAAAATAACATTTCCGTTCTTTTTTTTTAAGTTCAGTGTTCTGTTTGTATGTATCCCTGCAGGCCAGACGAGGGTCCCAAATCTCATTATGGATGGTTGTGAGCCATCATGTCGTTGCTAGGAATTGAACTCAGGCTCTGGAAGACAGGTCAGTGCTCTTAACGTCTGAACTATCCCTCCAGTCCCCAACATTTCCTTTTCTTCACAAAGAAAACATGAAAACTAAGTGTTATACTCAGAAATAGGAAAAGAGAAACAAGAAAATGAAACTCTGAATAGCATAGGGCAGCTCTAAATGTAACTGAAAGAGAAATGAAAATATTCCTTTAAACATTAACTTTCTCAAAAGTCAAGAAATGCATTTCTAAAATGTTTCACCAAGCAGTAGGTTCGGGAGGCTCACAGTTTCCTTCTACCATTTTTCCAGTGTTCTTAGAAATTATGTAGATATTGATAGGTGGTAATTCAGGACGAGTTGCCACAGTAACTGTATAATTATGTTTGGTAGTTTGGAGGCACTTCTCAAACAGTCCGAGATAGTCTCAAACTTTATGGGCTTTCCATCAACAGAATTTCTTATGAAGTGGATTGAGGGCTATAGTCAAGTCCAGTTAGTTTCGTAGAGGTAGACAGGTTGTTGCCAACCCTTGACCTCATGGAAGAGCTTCTTATCTTCTTGGAGATCTGCCTGATTCTCTACTGTGGCCACTCCCTCCGGGAAGGTACAGGAAGTTGCATGCTACATACATGGGGAAAATTATGTCTTCGTTTTCTAGGCTGATCACCTCCAGCTCTTGATCCTTTCTCAGGCAGAGGACATGATAGTTTGTGTCCCTCCTCAAAACAGCTGTTCCTTTTGTATCTAATGAGATCACACGCAGACGGAAGGCAATCTTTCTCTGCCAGAGTAAGCTGACACCAAAGCCACAGGATTTGTTCAAAGCACTGCGACGGAATATAATACGCCTGTTGATATATTGAACTACCAAGTCCCAGCCAAAGTTGAAGCCAGACCAGGTCCAGCTGCATTGCTCATCCCTTTGAAGTTGGCCTGCACAACGCATACTGGTTCCACTGACATCAGATACATGGATATCCACTGGCCCAAGTTCTCTGGACTGCTCTGCTCGAAGAAGTGCTAGCCATAGATCTTTATATATTGGGCTCACCCATGATGCAGGGATCAGTGCATCATGGTCAATAATTTGTGCTGAAGGCAGGTCACAGATGATGTAGGGGAGCCTTACTCGCTGGAACACTGACACAAAGGCTCTCCCCTGGTCAGTTTCCAGAAAAGGGGCACCATTTGCATCGCTTTTGCACTTGGCAAAGCACAAGTCAGCTGCAGTCAATAGTTCTCTTGGGGATCCTGACCATGTAGGTTCTAGCTGCAGAAACATCCACTTTTTCAGTATAGTGTATAAGTCTATCTCTACTTCAAACACCAAGAGATCTGAAGAGGCAACAAGCTCTTTCATGAGATCCAAATTGATTTCTTGCAATATTTCATCGTTTTGCCGGGTCATCAGGTTGTCTAAGAGCCACTGGCGGCAAACGGATTGGACACACTGGAGCCCGTAATCCTCAGCAGAGTAGTAGTAGCTGCACACAGTGTCAGCAGTAAGTGAGGCCTTCATCATCTCCTCACATTGCTGAATTACCTCATCCAACTGCAGCATACAGGCCGTGGACAAGACGGCAATGATTCGGTGGGGAGGAATTGGAATACTATTACTGTACAAGTAGACCAAAGCCTCATAGAAAGACTCACGGTCAATATTTTCGTCAGGCATCTGCATCTCTATTGTAGTCATGTCTGTCTCTCGCCAGGCACCACTGAACATGCTGGCAAAGTACCCTGACCGGCACAGGTAGCACTTGTGCAAGCACCACTCCTCCCCAAAGGCACAGATCTTTACGTCACTCTCCCCTCTCCTCCGGAAAGGTGATTTGGCTGTATCCTGCGGCAAACTTTCACGGGACAGTTTTGCCGAGGGTCCTGCTGGGCTAGCAGATCGCTTGCGGCCTACCCGTCTAGTAGTAATTCTGGCCTGTTCAACCCCCTGCTCTTCTCGGACAAAGGCCGGTCCAGCTTCCGCTGCCTCTCCGTCTCCAGCAGCAGGAGCTTCTTCTGCGGGAGGATTTCCTCTCAACCGCATTAGACTGCTTACAGTTCCCATGGCTTCGTCTAAAGGGTGAAAAGCATATACTTCCTCGTCAGACGTAGAGGTTAGAGGCCAGCCCTGAAGCCTGACTGCGGCTGAACAGCGAACAACGCAGCTCAGCCTCAACGTCAAAATGGTGGCCAAGATGAGCCACTCTGACGTACTATCAATTCAGCTGGAGAACTGCGCCCCCTACTTTGGAGGACTACGCATTGCACTTCCGTCCAAAACTTCTGTTCTTGGTCTCGCCTCACAGACTGATGGCACGATCCATACCTTTTTGCATGGACCTCTCTGATTATGTTCATAAAACACAAACAGGATTACTCGTCTAAAATTTTGAATGATGATTTCCTCTTGCTCCCATCTTTGTTCTCCATACCTTAATAACTTTGAAAACTGCATCAGCACCAGAGAAATTCAAGCCATATTCAGAGAAAAAGATATTTGCCCTCTATCCTGCTGTGTTTTAAAACGAATTTATTAAAATAATGTTTCCAGCTATGCAACATTTTAAATCCATCTCATTTGTGACTCAAAGCTGTCTATTTTGAGACTATACAAATATTTTCCCCTGAAATCTGAAAAGTAAATATTAGACACAACCGTAAGGTACTGGAAAGGTCAACTACAACAAGTTTAAAACCATTGGGTATAATTAAGGTCTGGGAGTTACAAATTAGTTACCTAGTTAGTGGCTATGTTTCAAAGGCAAACTTTTGTGGTGGTGTTTTCTACCTATTTCATGTCTTGGATAACGTAGAGATATGTGGGGGACAGAGGGAGCTTTGTCTCTCCTTGATACATTGAACATAGATAACATTTTCTCCTAGTAGACAGACAAACTGAATTTACCCAAAAGGAAGACAGGAATTACCAAATTAGTAAACACACAGTCTTTGGGAGTGAATTTTTCTACGGTGCAAGTTACAGTCAAGAGATGGCCACGCCTCTCAGAAGAGACTTTGGACTGATAAACAAGTTTGAGCCCTTTTAAGTCTCTGAGGACTTTTGAGGTTGGACTGAATGCATTTTCTCCCAATATGATATGGCTATAAGCCTTTTGGGGGTTAGAGAGTGGAATGTGGTAGTTTGAAAGAAAATGGCCCCCAAAGGGAGCTATTCCAAGGTATGGCCTTGTTGGAGGAAGAGTGTCACTGTGATGGTGGGCTTTGATGTCCCCTTGCTCAAGCTTTCCTCAATGTGACAGTCAGCTTCCTGTTGCCTGCAAGATATAGCACTCTCAGCTCCAGCAGCACATATGCCTGCATGCTGACATGCTCTCTGTCACCATATTTTCCTCAACCTCTAAAACTGTAAGCAAGCTGCATCAATTAAATGCTTTTTTATAAGGCTTGCCATAGTCATGATGTCTCTTTACAGCCATAAAAATCTCAAACTAAGATGCCTTCCCTCAGAGAAACACCTCCTCCAACAAGGCCACCCCTCCTAATCCTCCCTAAAGAGTTCCACCCATTGAGAACCCAAGCATTCAAATATGTGAGCCTAGGGTGTCATTCTTATTCAAAACACCACATTCAGCTCCCTGGTCCCCATAGACTTGTGGTCATATCATAATGCTAAATGAATTTAGTTCAACTTTACTAAAAGTCCCAAAGCCTTTCACAGTCTTATCACAGCTTAGAAGTCCAAAGTTGCTCCTGTAACCACCCAGGCCCAGAACTAGGGTTATGACTTGGCCCACTCCAGTATCCACCCCATCTATGGTTTGGTTTGCAGGAGACCCACACCTGCAGGATCTCGATGATACACAACAAGAACCAGATATCCAAGAAGAGTCCCAGTGAGGGCCCAGCAACAAGAGTGTAGCAGAAACCAGAGGCCTTAGCCAGACCAATGACTATTTTGCAAGAAACACTTGCAAGTAACCATATATGGACTAAAGAGTTTATTGTGTTGCTCACTGTGTCACACTACAGCTTCTAGGACAAGATTTTTTTTCTCTTTTCTTCTCTGCTGTGATATGATCCTTTTGTATACTGTGAAGTTTGTCACTATTACTGGTTTAATAAAAAAAAAGTCAACAGACCAGTAGATAGGCAGAAAGTTAGGTGTAAATCCAAACAGAGAATGGCAATGTAGTCAGAGGAGTGGGAATCCAGATGCAGAGGGAAAAGGAGATGAACCTGCCATGCTAATAAAGGTACTGCCATTTGGCAGAGTGTAAACAAGGACTGTGTTAACTTAAAGCCAAGAGCTAGTTAGTAATGAGCCTGAGCTATTTAATACAAATCTCTGTATGGCATTTTGGCATAGTGGCTCCTAGGACAGAAAAACTCCAACTTCTTTTTTCTTTAATTGTTTCTGTGATGGTGGGGGCCTGCAAGGTCATAGGTCATATATAAAGGGATGGAAAATGAATTGGATCAAGATACATGATAGGAAGACACAAAGAATAATTAAAAAGTAATTTATTAAAAGTCCCAAGTTGCTTCTGAGAGTCAAGGCAATCTCAATATTGTCACCCCTATAAAATATCATATTACGTATTTCTAAAACACAATGGTAGAGAATATACAATGCCATGTAGTCCAAGTAATAAAAACCCAGAGACAGATGTTGGGTTTCAAGTTGAAGACCAGAAATGCAAAGCAGCCATCCACTAGCTTTTATCACTACCTCAGAATGAAAGTGTGATCCTGAATCCTCAACAGGGCTGCAGACTGAATGCCTTCCTATCCTTGAGGTGACTGGAGACTCATTGGTTTCCTGTCCTCAAGGTGACCTGGGGACTAATTGCCAGTTCTGAGACCCGGCTACTTTCTTGTATACCTCTCTAGTGCTGGGATTAAAGGTGTGAGCTCTGTTTCTCTTTTAGAATGACTTATTCTCCTGAAGCACTGTGAGGCCTGAACTTGCAGAGATCTATCTGGCTCTGTCTCCTGAGTCTTGAAATTAAATGTGTGTGCCGCCACTATGGCTGTGGCTGGCTTTGGCCTTCTCATTTCCAGGCAAGCTTTATTAGATCATAAACAATATATCACCATATTACCATTTCAAAGGGAGGAATGAAAGGAAAAGCTGAACCAAAAAGATTGAAATTCAGCAGGACTAACTCCAAATCCTGTAGCTCCATGCCTGATGTCAAAGGGCTTAGATAGCTTTTAAGATCTCTCACACTTCCAGCTTTTCTGACTGTAACATACTTATTTCTCTTACTCCTCCTATGCAGATATCTCAGGTGCCAGATCTCCAAGCATCTGGCACCTGAGCATCCTGGGCTCTACAAATCAACCCATATGTCACTGTCAAAACTGCATGCAATTGACTCTCAGGGTTTCAGTGTAGGGACTCTCCAGACACGCACCTGAACTCAGTAGCTCTCCTTAAATACAGATAGAGATTGTACAATCTCTTTACTCATATATTCTTCATATCGCTTAAGACAGAAATATATTGCCAACACTACCACCAAGATCAGGTGTTCCATTGGGAGGGAGCTAGTATTCCTCCTTTAACCACATGTGTAAGTTTTGATTTATTTTTCTTGTCTATGAGCAGAAAATCCCACAGGCTATCTTTTTGGGAGCCAAATCTCAGGGCTTGGCATGAGATCCTAGACCATGCTTGGCTCACCACATAGTTAACCTTTTCATAGCAGCTCCTTAGAACCTCAGCTCATGAAATAAACAACCTGACCCAGTCTTCCACCCACAGGCTCAGTCACCTAAGCAACCCCTTCCTGGACCTCTTATTCATAAACTCTTTCCCCTGCCAAACATCCTCTTTGTGGCTTCCTAATATCCTGCCTACACTAACACCTGAAGCACAAACAACCTATTTTGCCCCTCCCCATATCCTGACTATATAAGCTGGCCTGAGAAAAGTAAATTTTGCCACTTGATCAGAATCCTGTCTTGTGGTTGTTCTTTCTGCGTCTCTTGTCCCCATTACCTATCCCTGACTCTCTTGCCCCAGGTTGATGTCCTGCAGGTTGGGACAACTGGTGCCCAATATGGGGCTAGATAGAGTTGGGGATCTGGGTTCTTCAGTGCTCATTAGAGGGACGGGCCCATCCATGAAGTGAGGTGTTCATGACAAGGTCGATTGAGAACCTTGGTTGGAGGAAGACCCAGCTACCTGCCCAGCGCTTGGGAGTTTCGGTTCACGAGCACCACCTATGTGGAAAAGGTGAGTAATAGGACAAGCATTTAGCAAGGAAGATATTTCTTTCTGGGATCACAGAATCCCTCAAGACACAGGGAACTTGGGTTAAGAAAAAATAATTGATAAAATTAGCAAGGAAGATTTATATCTTTCTGGGATCAAAGAATCCCTCAAGGCTCGAGAACCTCAGGTTACAAAGAAAGAAACAAACAAAAAAGTTCTTCCTCTTTATGGTGGGTCTTTGTCCATGGTTCCCTTAGGAAGGAACCATTAATGAAAAGAAATGGACTAGAGTTGGCAACTGCCTCTAAGAGTTGATCTTCTGATAACATGGCAGACCAGATGGGTTCATAAGACAAGACGTGCAACAGTACAGTGTGGGATGGGGCCAGGTTAGGGTCACTAGTGAGAAGCCCATGTCAGGTTGGTTTGGAAAGTAAAAGAAAGAAAGCTTCACATGATCTTTTTATTATGTTTGAAACTGCCAGTGCTTCTTTGTTTCTGCACCTGGCTTGTGGATCCATGGCGAGTTTGTCCACTATTACAGTGGCTAATGGTGGGGGAGAGTTCAACATTCTCCTTGTCAATTCCTGGGGAATGCTGGGAAGTTGCAAGTGAGATCATGGAGTTAGAGAGGTTAAGGTTGACAATGACACTAAGCTGGCTCTGCAATGCAGGAGGGTAAGGAGATGTGGATATCAGGAGGGACTCCCATTATGAGACTTTCTTCTCTTTTTTCCCAAAAGGAATGGTGATGTAAATCTAATGTTTAAGAATAGAGTATACATGGGGGCTGTAAATGAGACCTGGCAAAGAATTGAGCTGTGTAGCTAACACCTCTGGATCTGTAGTTATGCGCAGAGGCCTTTCTAAAAGCTGTCTGAAAG